TTTAAAACTTTAAATTACTTCAATTTTGATAGATATTTTGAACTGTTTACTGACTTTGATCAAATGTATCTCAACAACTACCTAATCAAATTCGATGAATTTTTTTTATTTGAATTCTACATATCTGTAGAATTAAAATAAAAAAAAATTTATTGAATTTGTTTGATAAGTACTGAAATATCTTCATTCAAAGTTGCAAAAAATTGCAATTTCACAAGGGGGTATGGTTAATAAATTTGGAGGGTATAAAAAATAGGACCCTTATTTTATTATAATTTATACTAATACTAATACTAATAAATATTTATTTAAGATTTTTTTAATGATAGTCATATAATGATTATTTGTACTACTAAAATTCAAGTACAAAAATAGATTAAATACAATTATTTTGAAATTGATCTAGCCTTTAAGAGAGTTGCTGATGATATTAACAAATTTGAAATAAATTATTATGATAAACATTATAATACAAGTAATTATTTAAATAAATAAAAATTTTTAGTATATATATTTTAATTATTAATTTATAAATTATACTTTATTAATATTTAGTTTTAACTTTTGCATGAATCTTTACAAATCAAGCAACTACAATTACATATCAATGAATGTTTAATGATCTTTTTGATCTTATTAAACAATTTACTAGTGAGCTACCAAAGTTTAAGCATATTTATAGAGAAAGATGAAGTTGCATTGTTGGTGATTTAGATATGGCGCAAGCTATAGGATTAGGTAAAACTTTGGCATTAATTGATAATTCATATAATTGGGAAGATCATTTGATACATATTTTTAAATCTTGTCAAGTTTATTACAAAAGGTAAAAATTAATGATTATTAATAATTGTTAATAATTTAATTTTTTTAATTTTTTTTTATCTATTACTATAGAAAATTGCATGAAAAATGATTTGAAAATGAAATTAAAAATGATATAGAATCATTATTAATGGTAACAGCTAATGAAGTTGAATTAATTTTTAATAAATTATCATTAAATGAGAATCTTACAAGTAGTAAATTCTATATATTTATTATTATAATAAAATTTTTAGTAAAAAAATTTAATTAAAAATAATTTATTAAACAGACTGAGTTCAATATTATCAAAAACTATATGTTATTGCATCTCTTAATCTATTTATATTAAAAATTCCTATGAATTGTTGGTATGCAGTACCTAATAATACAAATAGTGCTGAGTCAGTACATGCTATAAGCAATCATGAAGGAAAGCAATTAAAATTAATGACAGCTATATTGAGGTTTTATTTCTATAACAATTTATTTTATTTTTATATATGGTATAAGTTTTAATTTTTTATTTTTCAGAAGTCAAAAATTGGATATGCGCAATTTTAAAAGAATCGAAGTAAAAAAGAATTTTAATATTAGTTTAAATGGTCATGATAAAAGTGATATTGCACGAAGAAAATTAGCTATTAAACGAAGTGGTTAGTATATTTTTATTTAAAATATTTATTATAATAACTTATATATTTATTTATATATTAATATTTTAATAGTAAAACAACAATCTAAGAAAGTTTCCTTAACAAAAAAGCGTCAACAATCACATCCACAAACAAGTAATAAAAAACCACGCAAGTCATTAGAAGTTGAAGAAATTGATTTAACTAATGATGATGTTTGTATAAACAAAGAATCTCCAATGACAGCGATGGAAAAGTTGGAATACGATGAACGCAAGCTACTACTTGAAGAGCGGAAAGAGAAATTAAGAGAGTTGCGAATAGCTAATGCTATTAAAGAGCGAGAATATGGTCTTGTAGAATAATTATTGTATTTAAAATTTGCTTTTTTATATTTGCCTTTTTTATATTCACTGTTTTATATTTTGTATAATGATTGAACATAGCTACAATAAATAAAATGTTGTTATAAAAAAAAAATACCCAAGTTAATGCTAATTATAAATTACTATAAGACTTTAAATTTTATAATTATATTAATAAAGTAGATATAAATTAACATAAAATGAACTCAGCTTGCCTTACTATTTACTTTAAAATTTTGGTGTGATGAACTATTTTGTGACAAATAAGAATTCAATAGTATTATTAATAGTAAATCCTTATTTGTTACATAGAATGATTAATTACTTCTATGTTACAAATTGCAAATTAATTTTTCGGTATACATCCTACAAAATATACGTATATATTCTAATATACAAATAAGTATAACCAACTTATATGCTATTATACGCATATACATAATAGACGTTTTTTCATTTTTGTTACAATACGCTACTTCTTTTGTAGTTCAGACTATACTACTTTCCACATTGCCTCATTAGAAATGATCAAATACTAAAAATATTCATACTAATAATTTGATATATTAATAAAAATACTTTAAAACTAGAAATGTTATTTTGCTTAACTAGTTAGTTTGTGCTTTGAAACCTGTTTGAAGCATGCTTACTTGAACATGTTAGTTTAAAATCTGCTATTTATATTAAATATATAATATTTATAAGATATTACATTGCTATTAATATTAATAAAATTTATAAAATTTATATTTACATATAAAGCATTTTAAATTTAATATTATATTTAGTTATTAACCTTTTACACAATTAAATTATGTCTGATTCTATTATAATTTAAACAAAAGTTTGCGTAAATATTCTCAATTGCATATTGGGTTAATTGTATTCTTAGCTTGTGAAAGCATTGGTTCACTGAGTACACTTGCAGTTTGTATGACCAAATAGTCTAGATCATTTATGTAAGTTCAGACTGATCATGTTTTCAAGAAGTCTAGAGAATTGCAATTCTCAATAATATCATATATTCTTTTGTGAATATTGTTTAACTTCTTATTACAATACAATAAAATAAATAAATAAATTAGTTAATTTCATTAGGATTATATCTTTCTGGGAAAAAACTTTCAGAAATCGTACTGGAATCAAACTTATAAATCAAACTTATAATATATCAGTATATCGTTCCTGGTTTTGCGCAGCTAACCTTATTTTTATTTATTAAATATTTTCTTATTGTCATATATAGAATAAATTAGAATAAATTTGGAATAAATTAGGAATAAATTAGGAATAACGATAAATTGAATAAATTCGGAATAGACACTATGGACATCTAATGACATCTATTATAAAAAATAGTAGTATGGAAAAGGAAAGAATAAATTGGAATAAATTATGTAAATAGAGATTAGTAATGTATGAGAGTTTGATTAAGCTACGTATGTAGAAATGGCTGCCATCCACATAGCACAAAATGTAACGAGTAATAATAAAATTTAATTATACGTAGATAACGCAATATATTACGATATTAATTTATAAAAATTTGTTTCGATAGTTTAAGATCAACTAAGTTTTAGAACATTTATAAATTTTATTAATAAGTTCGGATTAGACATATAGTAACTCTGCAAATCAAGGGGATGTCCTGGAACAGCGCACTTTTGAGTCCAAAACTGAAAATTTTACATATGGTCCAGGAGGGTTCGGTTTAAATAGCTTTGACTGTATATATAATTTTAAGGGAGGACCAAAAAAGTGAAAATAATTACATATTGATAAGGGCTTAAATTTGAAAAATATTACCGTTACATATAAAGGCTCAAATAACTTTACGCACAACGACAGCGCATTCATTTAGAATATTTAGCATTCAACGGTAATTTATTACTATTTGTTAACATTTTCAATAGTATTACTATTACCTTTGTAGATTTAACACAATTCAAAATTTATATTATCGAAAAACCTTTAATGGAATTTATATTCATATTACCAAACTTTAAATTTTTTAAAGCAAAAGACTTTATTTGTAATATTCTTCTGTGCCCTTCTAGTCTCTGTTAGTACAATAGGATTCGCCGCGATATGGCTTCAATTATCTAGAGGTAAACCATACAGATAATAATTTATTACTCTTTTTTTTTTTTTTTTTTTTTTTTATGAATATCTAATTTTTATATCCAATGTTTAATAGGGTTACCAATCAAATGAAATGTCATATTAATGATTTCTGATGGATTCGGTCTGTATCAGAAACTTTTGCTCGCGATTATTATCAATATATATAAATGACTTACATTATAATAATACCACTCCTTTGGATCAAATCCTTGTTGGATCTTCTCGAACGAGATCTTCTGACAGTCTTGTCACTGATTCTGCTGCTGGTGCAACGGCATTTTCATGTATAAAAAAAACTTATAATGGTGCAATTGCAGGTTATTAATATTTCTATATTATAATACATGTTTGAATAATTATTTAAAAAATTTTTTTTATAATAGTTTTAATGAATTTTTTAATTTTATATATTAGTTGATCCTGATAAAGCTCCGTATGGAGCTGATTAGCCAAAGGGCATGCCCTAGGCATGCCTCCCTGGGCATGCCTCTGAGGCATGCCTTGGGACACCATGCCCCCAACCCTGATTGGTATTAAAATTTAAAATTTTCATTATAATAATCATTTTCTATTAAAAAACTTTCCCTGGAATCGTTATTAAAACTATCATTAAAAGAATTATTTTCTTGATTATTTTATTGATAAAATAAAATTTGTAAAGACGATTTAAAAAAAAAGATATATATATATATATATATATTTCTTAGAAACTTAATAAAATAAAATTATCTTAAAAGTCTTTATAAAGTCTAAAAAGTGCTCGCATTATTTAATATGTTTTTCATTTTTACCATTTAACGGTCATTTTTAGACTTTGGCTGTTTTCATAAATCCTGGGACACTCAGTGTATAGGGTGAGAGCAATCATTTCTGTGATGAATAAACATTTGCTATATATTTTACATAGAAAATGCTTATTCGTCACTCATGGTTAGCCACTCCCTCAAATATATTTGAGTGAGTGACCAATCATAGTGACGAATAAGCATTTTCTATGTAAAATATATAGCAAATGTTTATTCGTCACAAAAATGATTGCTCACGCCCTTCTTAAGTTTTCATTAATACTATACACAATATGTTACATCACCAACCATATACACGTGTTTACTTGTTTAATGTATTATACACCACTACTTTGCTTTACCATACACTATACATGTTACCCGAAACTAGTAACAGGAGGGAATGTTAATGGGTTTTGGTACAATTCGTCGACAGCTATTTCATCGAAAATAAATCTGTAGCAAACACTAGCTATAAATCTGGCTAACCCTAACCCTAAATCGGGCCCAAATTGCTGTCGGTGAAAGGTTGTCGGCGAAATTGATCAATACCCGTTAATGTTACACGTATTTTAAGTCCTGTGAGGGATTATATCTGTAACGTATATTATAGAGTAAGCTCGATATAAA